CTCTCCGAGTGTGGCTCTGAAGCCCATCCCAAAGAATTCTGTAAGCCCGATATACCTAAATACAACGGAACCTCTGACCCAAATGAGCATGTCACTTCTTACACGTGCGCCATAAAGGGAAACGACTTGGAAGATGACGAAATCGAGTATATACTGCTGAAGAAATTCGGGAGACCCTATCGAAGGGTGCCTTAATATGGTATCATAACTTACCCCCTAATTCTATTGATTCATTTACTACGCTTGCAGATTCTTTTGTAAAGGCACACGCCGGAGCCATTAAAATTGCAACAAGGACGTCGGACCTTTTCAAGGTAAGGCAGAAAAATAACGAGATACTCAGGAATTCGTATATCAGTTCCAAGTGGAGAGAATGGATTTGCCTCCGGTCACCGATGACTGGGCTGTTCAAGCTTTCACTCAAGGTCTCAACACTCGGAGTTCCATAGCTTCACAGCAGTTGAAGCAAAGTTTAATCGAGTAGCCGGTTGTCACTTGGGCCGACGTACATAATCGCTATCAGTCGAAGATTTGGGTCGAGGATGATCAACGGGGGACTCCTTCGGGGTCCGTTTATCCTGGCAGGCCCATGGATAGGATCAAAAGGGATATCGATCGAGAGCCGAGGTCGAATAAATTATCGATATCAACCGCACAATAGAGAAAATAGAGGCAGCGGATCTGGGCAAAGCTTCGCATGAAATGAGAGGAGAAATGATCGAGGTCAAAATTCACCGGGGCTTGATGCCGAGGAAGATCACGTTAAATATCCAAAATCCGAAATAAAGGTACGATCCCATTCAATACATTCTATTTTTTCGACTAACACTTGCAGGATATCGACCAAAGATCGGCACGATGCTTTGGATCTTAAAAGCACGCGTTGCATTCTTTTTTCCTTAGACCGGTTTTTGTCCCAAATGGGTTTTTCCGGCAAGGTTTTTAACGAGGCAACCATTGTTCGTGCTAAACTTAGAGCAATTCAACAGTATCCGAGGTTCCCTACAATAAGCCTCGAGTACTAAGGGAATTACCTCGAATGTCTACTTTGTTGTAAGGAAATCACTTCGTGACAACGGGGTCTCGATAGGAAAATATTGTAAGGGTCAAACGGTCAGATGAACCGTGCCCGTATAGGTTACTTGGACCCTAACATCAAAAACATGCGCGCATGTATTATCATCCATTGAGAGAAGTATTTTTCCTTGTCGATATCCCCTACCTTTAGAAAAATTTCCTATTTTATACTCTTGATCTATTGTGTAAACAGGCTTAAAGGCGACCCTAACGGAAGTTCGAACAACTAACCCTACGCTTGAGGACTGCCGTCTGAAAAACAAACAAAATCGAACTACTAACATTTCGAGACCATAAGACCTTAAAAGCGATCCTCGATTTTACACGCCACGGCCACCCCACTCGGGGACTAACACTTCGGGCTAGATCGAAGTGTAACGGAAAATAATCCCAAAGGGCAAGTTCCGAACTAAAGAGGCTACGACCAAATTAACACAGGATCGGAGACGTTCGAAATACGTAACAATACAAAAGCCTAAGGGCTATCTTAACCCAAGTTCGAGAAAACTCTCACTCAGGGACTATCTATAAAGCCTAAGGGCTAACTTTACTTCGAGTTCGAGCAAATCCTCACTAGATCATAAAAGCCCAAGAGCTATCTTAACCCGAGTTCGAGAAAACTCTCACTCGGGGACTATCTATAAAGCCTAAGGGCTAACTTTACTTCGAGTTCGAGCAAATCCTCACTCAATCATAAAGCCAAGGGCTATCTTAACCCGAGTTCGAGCAAACCTTTACTCAGGGACTATTTATAAAGCCTAAGGGCTAAATTTACTTCGAGTTCGAGCAAATCCTCACTTGATCAAAAAGCCCAAGGGCTATCTTAACCCGAGTTCGAGCAAACTCTCACTC